GTTTTATTTTTTTATTTAATTGTTTGTATAAACTTCAACTTGGAAAAAAAAAAAAGTGAAATCGTTTAACTTCAAAACAGGACCCCGCAAACTTCATAGATAGGTCAGTAACAAAAATTTCTGTTTGTTATATGATTTGAACCAGACCAAAATTAAGTTTAATATATAACTTTGACCCTAAGTTTTGCAATAACATTAGAAAAAAGAACATAATTTGACCCATAATATATACTAACATTAAAAATTTTGAAACTGTCTACTGTAACAAAAATAAATTTTACCAATCAATTGATTAACTGATAATAATTCATTAATTTTTATAATTTATAATTTTTTTTTAATATTGTAATAAAATTTGTGAATTTGTAATTCACGTACGTGAAATTCAAATTAGCAATCAAAATTTCATATCCAAACACCCCACCCCAAAATTTTAATTATAGATTTCTAAAAGATAAAGTATTGGTTTTGTTTTAAAATTTGGTATATACACAAAATTTTTGGTTCCTAATAAATCGTCGAATACTAATAGATTTGACCCTATTAAACCTAACCAACCTTTTTGATGTGTATAACAATTTGTCCCTAACATTAAAATTGACCTTATTAGTGATTGTTAAATTTGTATTTGTAATTTATAAATAATTTGACCCTATTATAAGTTTTCTAATCCTATGTAAGTTGTGAGGGAGGATCTAATTACAATAAAAAAAGTACTAGAAAGATTTTTTTTTAAAACCAAAATTTGTTTCCATTTACTATTTTATTGGAGGAGTTTTTTGTTATTATAGTTTGTTAATATTAACTATATAAATTGGGCGACCAACTTTAAAGGTAAAGGTAAATTAATAATTTATTTTAATGCTGAAATTTATTATATATATTTTTTCTAACGTGAAATGAGTATTTCTCTATCATTCAATGATATAGCTATTTAATTATAAGCAACACAAACAAAACAGGATGAGCAGATAAATAATTAGATCATTTGAGATTTTACTGGTTCGTAAAAAAAAAAATCGGAAGCATTTTTTCAAACGTGACGAATTTCAAAACTGCGGAACGATACGTCCACACGGAAAAAAGTTGATCTGATTTAATATGATACATCATGGAAAAATGTTGTTGACAATTGGATGAGCCTTTTATTATTTATTAGTTTGTTAATTATATATAACTAAAGCTAAATTAAGAATCTATTTTAATGCTGAAATTTGTTATATGAATATATTAATTATAAGAACACAAACAGAATGAGTAAATATGTTTATTATTATTCTGTATATAATTAGATGTTTAGAAATAATATTTTTAACATTTTAAAAAATCAGTATAGATTTTATTAATTTGAAACGACCAAACATTGAATGCCAATTTAAAAATGCAACATTAAAAGTTATATCAATTGACCTTGAAAATCTCCTATTATATCACAAATTTATATCACAAAAATGAAAGATTTTATATTATGTGAAAACTATTGGTTTGATGCGTTAGTGTGACCCACATTATTACTATACTAGTAATTACAGTTAATTACCTTACCATCATTACTTACCATTATCTGTTATTATTATTATATTTATTATATAGTTAAAAACACCCGAAATTATGTCAAATTTATGTATTAAAATATATTATCAATCATTTGGAAAAATCTGCGAAAAAATGAAAGAATGATAATATTATTGATATAAATAAAGCAAAAAATTTCGAAAACGAAAATTTTGTTTTTTTTAAAAAATAATTACAGTATAATCATTAATAAATAAATTCAATAAAATAAACTCATAACTAATCATAACCAATATATAATAAAAAACTAAATCCATAATCAACATATATATAAAAAAACCAAATATGCACGGAAATTATTCTAACAATAATATTGATATTAATGATTTTGATGTTAATAATCAAGACTTTGTTCCTAATGATGACGGCAACTACATTCATCAAAACCCCGGAGACAATAATTACATCCATCAAACTCTTGGAAACAATTACATTCATCAAACTCCTGGAAACAATAATCACATTCATCAAAACCTTGGAGACAATAATTACATTCATCAAACTCCTGGTAACAATAATTACATTCATCAAAACCTTGGAGACAATAATTACATTAATCCAACTACTGGAAATAATTACATTCATCAAAACCCTGGAGACAATAATTACATCCATCAAACTCCTGGAAATAATTACATTCATCAAAATCCTGGAAACAATAATTACATTAATCAAAACCTTGGTAACAATAATTACATTCATCAAAACCCTGGAGACAATAATTACATTCATCAAAACCTTGGAAACAATTACATTCATCAAAACCCTGGAAACAATAATTACATTAATCAAAACCTTGGTAACAATAATTACATTCATCAAAACCTTGGAGACAATAATTTAGGTCACCAAAACAGCCAGAACTCTGTCAAAAATAATTACATTGATCAAAACTCCGGAAACGGTAATTTAATTCATCAAATTAATTTCTCCAACCAAAACCCGGGGATTAATTTCGTTGACCGAAGCTTCACTGGAACAACCAACAATGATAACAATTATATCCTTGACCAAAATCCATCTATTAATGCGAGCATTAATTATCCGAATATGAACTATTGCTTTGACAATAATTTTGTTGGTCAAAATGTTCATCAAAATTCTATTATCGTGAATAATCTCAATCATCAACTGCTACTACTTATTTACATATCACCAAAATCTCCAAAAAATTTTATTTTACAATAACAATAACAGATGTTAATATTAATATATGGTTCATTATTCATAAATCGATTTTAAATAGCGTCAATAGTAATAACAATTACAACATCAATTTTTATCTTTTTCAATTTTTTTCTAATTAACTTTTTTTATATTTTATATTTTGTTTGTAAATCCAGTCAGACATAATAGATATTTTTTATGTGTTTAATCGAGAAGAATATATAATCTGATGTTATGTGATAATTATGATAATTAAATTTAATCATTAAGGTTTATTTAATACGATTATAGCGCAGTGTTATTTAAATTATACTTCGTATCTGAAATAATTCCAAAGCTCACTCATGTATTTGTTGTATTATCTAAATAATAATTCAAACGATTTATTTTCAAGTCAATTTTTTGTATTTTCACTTATAACAATTATTTATGATGTTAATCTAACGATGGGATATTAAAAATTTGTCAAGAACTCTTTATAGTAAACCTTTAAGATAAGCCAAATAATTTTGTTCGATGCTCACCATAAATAAGAAGTTTTTTAAACAAAAAATCGGCTTTGTTAAACATCTGAACTTTGTGAATGACCGATAATTAAAAATAATATTTGGATTTATGATGTAAAGATTAATACTAGATATTAAAGAATTTCAAAAATCGGCTTTGTTAAACATCTGAACTTTGTGAATGACCGATAATTAAAAATAATATTTGGATTTATGATGTAAAGATTAATACTAGATATTAAAGAATTTCATGTTCATTCTATGCATGTTGTTCCTTTTTCAAAACTCTATTGCCTAATGCAAAATAAAAAATTGTTCAAGAGAGAAAATATCAATCATCAGATAAATTATTTAAATTATTTAAATTTATAGTCGGAGCGATCCACCAGTTGCCTTTTTCTACTATATAACGAGTGACAATTTTTATATTTGGGCGAACAAAAAAAGTTCCCCATTACTATGGCGAGCTTGATAGTATATGATAGTATCTATTAATTATTTATTTTTAATAATGATATATTAGTTTTATTTTATAAAATATCCATATACAAGTAGAATTGAATCAAAAGATTATTCAAGAGCTTATATAATTGGACTGAGGTTTAGACTCGAATCATTATTGGATTAATTTATTAAAAATCGTCATGATTATATTAAAATTCTACGATCAATTTATGCCAACAAAAAAAATATAATGAATTCGAATTGTTGGAGAAACCAGTTTTATTGGAAATCCTCGGAAGTAACAATTTTTATACTGATGAAAATAGAAGTATGAAAATGTTCTTAAATAGGGATTAGCAAAACATCCAGAAATAAAAGGTGATGTTAGATATTGGTCATCAAAAACTTTGCAAATCTAAGAAACACATTAAAAGGATTAATTAATTTGATATTTTTAAAGAGGCTTTCATAGTAAACTATAAAGCTTTTCCAGGGATCTATGGAACAAAATTATCTTACTCTTGAAGATCCAAAAATTCAACCAATGATATTTAATCAAAAGATCACTTTGCTTTTTGCAAGTTGGATTGGCAAAAAAGATCCACCCATGACTCACTCAATCAAGAAGGTCATATAGTAGTGGTAGAGATGGTTTAGATGCAAAAATATTTCATCATAAATGTGATCATGCCATTATGAGTTAGTCATGAGACTCTTTACCAGAATTATTATACAGCACGCGAGTTAAAATTTGGTATTTCTTTATTTGTAAATTGTTACGTGGGGACAAAAAAATTACTAATACTAATAAAAATTGCTAATTGTCAACCTTTACGCAAAAAATTGTATCAACAAATTCAGAAACTGTATATCAACAAATATTGTTCCCGAGTTATTTCTAAAGCACTGGCATTCTTTCATTTAAGAATTAATTGATACTATCGTATTCTGCTGTCCCAGGAATAAGCAACATTTGAATTTTTGAGAAAGTTTACAGTATTTTCTGTTCATAATAAAACCCTCCTTGAATAAGCAATTTGATAAAAATGTTATGAAAAGGAGGAGTCTTGATAGAAATGGTACAACATCAAAATTTGTGATTTGAGTTAATACTAATATAGTGGCAATCATCTAAAGACATCATTAATGTTGCCAATCTTTAAGTGCTGATGCTTTATTAAATATGGGCTATTTTACCAAAAACTCTCTATTTTTGCAATAT